GGAGTGCAGTTCAGTCTGATTTAAAGAAGAGACTAAAAGGGAGGGAGAACTAAGTGGCTTAAAAGGAAGATTTAGGTAATGGGAAACAATTTGGGGAGCCAGGGTAAGAGAGAATGCCATTTGGGGTACCGGGCAACATTAGGCGAGGCTGAAAGAAAAAGGGGACTTGATTGGGAGGTTGGGTCTGGGTTTGTGGGGGCTTCAGGGAAGAGGCCCGGATGAGGGGGATGGGCTGAACTAGAGGGAGGGGGGCTAAAGGGAGAAAGGAGGCCCAGTTGCGGGGCTGGACTCAGTTTAGGGTGGCAGAAGTGAAGACAGGATCCCGTAGGGGGCGAGTGAGGCTCTGTGGGGTGGGGGCCGTCTGAGGGGGGACGGAGGAGGCCCTCTGGAAAAGAGGAGGGGAGGACGAGGGTGAGGAGCCTGGGCCGGGTCGTTACCTGTCCTGGGTGTTTATCATCCTCGGCGACTCTGCTCAGGGTGGGAGGAGGCAGCGCAGGGACTGGGTAGGTGGATGAGTGGGTGGGTGTGGGGTCGCGCGCGCGGGGCCGATCGCTGCGGGATAAGTCCCTGTCAGGCCGCGGGCCGAGAGCCCTCCTCCTGCCTCTGCGAGCGCCTGCCTCCAACTGACCCTCCCCGGCCGCCGCCGACGCAACCGCCCCGCCCCCCAGAACCTCATCTGCATAGCCCCACCCCAGCACCGCGCGGTGTCCTGGGAAACTGGGGCCCACAACAAAGGGGAGAGCACCGCCCCACCGCCGCGCACGCGCACCCGGATCCTGTAGCGAGGGAGATAGGGGGAGGCGGCCGAACATAAGTGCTGCTTTTGCGGGGGTTTCCAACACCGGGGCTCCCGTGGCAGTCGCTGTGTCCAAACCCGTGCCACGCGCCAGGCACGAAAGCTGAGTTCTATTTATGCTAGAATTTTTTGAAGACTGGCTCAAGCTAGTGTTCGTCCCTACTTCTTGTTTTCGTGGACCCAGCAAGGCAATGTCATTTGTAACCCTGAGAGGATATTTTTATTAAAATCAAATCAGAAATCTCACAGCACCACTCCCAGCCTGATTCCAGGCCTACAGACGTCAGTTACCTCAGCTCACTATGCAGATCAATAACCTATGCTGCCAGCTGTCAACAGTCTCTGAATCATGACTACACATCTCAGGTCAACAGTCAAGGCCCTGGACACTGATTGGTAGCCACCTCAAGCCAAATCTCTGTAGGTCACAGTCACCTCACAGCAATCCTGAAAGACATCATCAATCGTTTGTTCACAATTAACTCAGATCACAATCAGTGCAGGTTGTCTTAGTTCAATCATGCAAGGCTACTGGTTAACATCACCTCACTTCTCTGTTCTTACTGATCCTAATCACAGGTTAGTGCCAAAAGGACACAATCATTGGTACACAGACCCCTTAGATTGCAGTCATAGTAGGTGGAATGTAGTCATCAACATCCCAACCCTCTGTTTACAATCACCAGATTGTAATCAGGAGAAGTCACATTCTTTAGGATCATAGTGAGTTACTGTCACCTCAAACCATATTTATTCATTCATTCATTCAACAAATAATTACTGAGCAACTACTTACTATATGCTTCAGGCATTGTGCTAGAGTCCAAGAACACTCAGTGATAAACTAGGCAAGATTCCCGCCTCAGATGTCACAATCTGGTGAGAGAGACACACGGAGTTCATCACAATATAAGTACTTAGCCACAGAAAAAGTAACAAACAAGGGAATTAGTGATAGCTTTGGAGAAAGGATGATGCCAATCATTCCAGATCAGAGGTCACTATGACTTCCAGTTCACAAGAGTCTAATATCACATATGTTCACATCAGAGCCTTGACAGAAAAAAATTATTCTACTTCACAAACAAACAGCATTTTTTCAAAATTGATTTTGAGATAATGGAAATACAAGCTAAGTCTTTTCCAGCAAAAATTAAAATGGTAAATGATACTATAACTGGCCAGATTACCACTGAGTATTTGGGCAAGGCTGGTCCAATATTCTGGTTCACTTTAAGATACTCCACCTTGTCTCCTTGGCTAAGCTCACCTACTCTTCTAAATTCAAGCCAGGTGTGTCCTTAAAAATAGCACCTGGGAAATCCTCTTGACCCTCAAAGAAAGCTAGAACAACTCATTTATTTCTTTCCTTTTTAAATTTTTTTATTGTGAATTGAATGATAATCAAATCATTCAACAAATCATGTACTTTGCTTCTTCATTACAATGAATACATCAACTACATGTCCCATCAGTTAACAGTTTTTACCTCTATTCACTTTAACTATTGCATTCCTCTTTGTGTCTCCCACAGCCTTCATCTTACCTCTGCCAACCTCCCGCTTGTTCTATATTGCCTGACTCATCACTCATGTTAACATGTGTCTATCCTCTAGCCCATGAATAAGTTTCCCTCCCCAGACCCCTAATAACCATCATAGAATGTTTCTTTCAGCAAGTAAACCTTTTCTTAACTTTTTACACCACTAGTCTCCTACATTATTTGTCCTTTTGTGACTAATTTCACTCAGCATAATGTTCTCCAGATTCATTCATGCTGTGTGTGTTTGCCAGAGTAGTCATTATTCTTCAATGCTGCATATATTCCATTATATGTATGTACCAAATTTTGTTTAACCATTCCTCTCTTGATGTACATTTATGTTGTCTCCATTTTTTTTGTTATTACAAATAATGCTACAATGAACATGGGTGTACATATGCCTGGTTTTATCACTGTTCTTATTTTGTGAAGATATATACCAAGTAAAGGGATTGCTGGGTCATATGGTATTTCTTTCTATTTCCAACTTTTGGAGAAAGCACCATAATATTTTCCATAGTGGTTACACCATTTTATAGGAGGAGTCCTTGTGTGGCAATGTAGGATAAGCACTCAACCTCAAGGCTAGTTTGAACTGTAAGGTTAGTGAGTCAAACGAATACTAGCCACTCCTTGGAAACCTATACAGGGTCAGTATGAGTCAGAACCAACTCAATGGCACTTAACTATAACAACAAGCAATGTAGGAAGATCTGTCTACTCACACCCTTGCCAGCATTTGTTGCTTTCTGGGTTTTAATTTTAACTTTGCTATTAATGCTGGAGTAAATACTGTATGGCTAACCTTAAGGTCAGTGGTACAAACCACCAGCTGCTCCTCTGAACCCCTATACAGGTCTCTCTATGAGTTGGAACCGACTCCATGGCACTTAACAACAAAGATGATATCTCATTGTTTTGATTTGCAGGTGTGGTGCTGTAGGATAAGCACTGGACTGCAAGGTTGGTTTGAATCACAAAGCACTTAACAACAGCAACAACAATGGCTAATGATAGCATTTCTTCATATGTTTGTTTTTTTCTGCCTCAGTTTCTTCTTTGATGAAGTGTCTATTCATGTTCTCTTGTCCATTTTTTAATTAGATTATTTGTTTTCTTCTTTTTGAGGTGTTGAAATGTTCGATAAATTTTAGAGAGTAGTCCTTTTTTCTTATATGTCATTGCCAAACATTTTTTTCCACTCTTTGGGTTCTCTTTTTACTCTTTTGGTGAAATCCTTTGATGCATATAAGTGTCTGATTCTTAGGAGGCTCCAGTCATCTATTTTGTGTTCTATTTGTGTTTTCAATTATGTTTGATAGTGTATTTATGCCACGTACCAGAGTCCCTAAGTTTTTCCCTCATTTTTAATTGACGATCTGTTTAATTATAGGCTTTACATGTAGGTCTTTAATTCGTGTTGAGTTAATTTTTGTATATGGTATGAGATATGGATCTTGTTTCATTATTTGCCAATGGACTTCTGGTTTTACCAGTACCATTTGTTGAAGAGACTATCTCTTCCCCATTTAATGCATTTTGGCCCTTTGTCAAAGATCAACTGACCACTGTTGGTGGATGGATTTACTTCTGAGTTCTCAATTCTATTCCATTGATGTGTCTTCATTGTACCAGTACCAAGTTGTTTTGACTACTGTGGTTGTGTAGATTTTGAGATTAGGAAGTGAAGGCTTCCTACTTTGTTCTTTTTTTTTTTTTTAGTAATGCTTTGCTTATCTGGTGTCTCTTTCTTTTCCAAGTAAAGTTAGTGATTAGTTTTTCCATCTCTTTAATGAATGTGTTGGAATCTGAATTGGGATTACATTTTATCTATAGATAACTTTACTATGTAGTATTGACATTTTCACAATGTTAAGTCTTCCTATCCATGTTGTTGTTGTTAGGTGCCATCGAGTCGGAACCGACTCATAGCGACTCCATGAATAGCAGAACGAAACAATGTCCAATCCTGGGCCAACCTCACTACCTCTGCCACACTTGAGTCCATCAATGATGCCACCTGGCCAATCCATCTCATTAGGGGTCTGACCCTCCACCTTACCCAGCATGACATCCTTCTCCAGTGACTGTTCCCTCCGGACAATATGTGCAAAGTATGAGAGATGAAGCTTAGCCATCTTGGCCTCCAAGGAGCAATCTGGCTGCACTTCTTCCAAAATAGATCTATTGGTTCTTTTGGCAGTCCATGGCACTTTCAGTATTCTCCTCCAACACCAAAGGCATCAATTTTTCTACGATCTTCCTTATTCACTGTCCAGCTTTCGCACCCATATGAGGTTATTGAAAATACCATGGCTTGGTCAGGTGCACCTTAGTCCTCAAGCTGACATCTTTGTTCTTCAACACTTTAAAAAGGTCCTGTCCAACAGATTTGCCCAATGCAATACGTCGTCTGATCTCTTGACTGCTGCTTCCATGAGTGTTGATAGTTGATCCAAGAAGAATGAAGTCCTTGACAACTTCAATCTTTTCTCCATTGATAAGAATGTTGTTTATTGGTCCAGTGGTGAGGATTTTTGTTTTCTTGACATTGAGATGCAATCCATATCGAAGGCTGTGCTCTTTGACCTTCATAAGTAAATGTTTTAAGTCCTTTTCACTTTCAGCAAGCTAGGTTGTATCATCTGCATATCGCAGGTTGTTAATGAGTCTTCCTCCAATCCTGACGCCACGTTCTTCTTCATAGAACCTAGCTTCTCGTATTATTTGCTCAGCTTAGAGGTTGAATAAATATGGTGAAAGAACACAACCCTGTCTCACACCTTTCCCAATTTTAAAACATTCAGTGTTCCCATGCTCTGTTCGAACAACTGCTTCTTGGCCTAGGTACAGATTTCTCAGAAGTACAATTAAGTGTTCTGGAATACTCATACTTCTCAATGTTGTCCATAGCTTGTCATGATCCACACAGTCGAAAGCCTTTGAGTAGTCAATAAAGCATAGGGAAACATCCTTCTGGTATTCTCTGCTTAAGTATCTATCTATCTATCTATCTATCTATCTATCTATCTATCTATCTATCTACCTATCTATATGCCTCCATTTCTACAGGTCTCTTTTGGTTTCTTTTAATAATGTCTTGTAGTTTTCTTTTTATAGGTCTTTTGTTTCTCTGGTAAGATTTATTTACAAATATTTCATCTTTTGGATGGCTATTGTAAATATATTGTTATCCTGATTTCCTTTTCAGATCTCTCTTTATTAGTGTAAAGGAATCCAACTGAT